CCTTTATTCCACACCGCTCTGTCCCTTCTCTGAGAAACGTGCTGATCATTTCCTTCTTTTATGAAGCCCCTCCCTCAGAAATAGGCGATGGGCTCTGATTGGTTAGCTAGCCCATTGTGTTGTGATTGGCTAAACCGTCTCTAGTGCGCTAAATGTCCCGCCCCTCACCTCAGCGGCATGTGATCCGGTTGTACAGTAAACAACGGCATCGTTAATATCGCTTATCAGTTTGAGCCCGATTAAGAAGCAGAGGATATTATTGAAGAGGATCGTGCAGAACCTGTGCAAGCACGGCTTTTAATGGTAGGCCTATGTTTTTTGTTTGTTGTTGTCTCATACTTTTTGAGAGAGAGTGAGATGCAGAGCGTGTGCAGAGCAGGGGGACATGAGAAACAGTATTAAGAACAGCTGCTTTAGAACATTGATTTTGAAACTTGTGAATCCATTAGAATCTTTAGAAGACAGAATCGCGATTCATATATGAATAGTTTTCTTTTCCTCTTCTCTAAAGCAGCGCAGCATGGCCTCGCCACCTTTGTTGCCTTTTCCCAAGGGCGGGGTTTATCTGGGTTTGTTATGTCACGAACCCGGGAATGAACCACCCCATTAATTACAAATACATATAAATATATATTTATATATAAATGTATTTATACTTATTTTATATTATATTAATTATAAACATACTATAAATAAATATTTTATTTCTATATTATATTTATATCGGTGTATATGTATTTATATCAGTTCTAATAATGTCATTCTGTCAATCTACAGACCTCTGGGACTTTCTGAACGGGGAGACACCCTCGAATCCACCTCGTCATCATCATCTTCATCAGATATCACATCCACTTCCACATCACTGCATTCCTGCAAGCCGTCTGATTGGTCCATCGACTCCTGGCTAGCCAATGGGTTGTCAGTATCGCTCTCTCTGCGAGTTGATGGGGCCTTGAAAAGAGGAAATGAGAAGCGAATGAGATTTGGGAGATACTACATTGTAGCTCTTACATACTTTTGTATGCGTCATGTGGTGTTTACTTCAAGAGCACTGAGATCCGTCTTGTCCAACATTGCTTCTGAGTGCAAAAATGAATTTAAATTCTGCTTTAGACTAAAAACTTTAAACACTCTAAAATGAACTCACCTGTGAGCCTGCATTTCCAGCTCCATCCCCTAGAGTGGCGCTATTAGTCTTAAGATCCCTGAGCTGTTTCTCCAGCTGAGCTTTGGCTCTCTCGCTGTGCCTGAGTTTTCCCTCGGCTCCCCTCAGGCGTACGAGCTCCTCCTGCAGCAGACTGTGCTGCCGTTGTAGCAGGGCCAGCTCTCCCAGCGAGCCAAAGTCACTCGCACCATCCCGGGACAGGGAGCGAACTGTACGAGCCCCTGCGGTGGCCGGGGAGACAGAGCTCTCTCGTAGGCAGAGCTCTAAGATGGAGTCCTGTCGTATCACCACACCCTGGGAGAGAATGAGTTTTTGGCCTCATTGAGTTCATTTCGGATCCCGTTGGTACATCAGTGCTTTGCAAAATACATTTGTCAGATTTTCTTCAATGCACACATACCTGTAAAGCGTGTAACTGAGCACTGAGATTCACCAGCCTCTGTGACACCTCCTGAAACACAAAAAAGACATTCAGATGCAAAACATAACAAAAAAATAGTAATATAATGTATAAATAGAAATAATATAAATATATAAAAACTCACACTAGTCTAAATAAGCCTGGAAATTTGGGTGGCCTTGAAATATTTATAGGAGGCTAGTGATGCACAGTATTGTGGAGGGCGATATTTTTTGCATATAACTCGTAAAATTTAAAAACTAATTCATATCAATCATGGAATTGCAGCCGATCATTTCACCTAATCATGTGTTATGGACTATCTGCTTGTTTTTATGTGCACTTTTTGTAACATAAGACATAATCAGTCTCATGCATCACTAGGTGAAGATCCTCGGCCCATGTTGAAGCATTGGTTTATAATTTGAAATAATTGTTTTATATTTTAATACATTTTAAAATATAATTTATTCATGCGATGGCAAAACTACATTTTCAACAGCTATTACTCCAGTCGTTACTCCAAATAATCATTTTAATATGCTGATTTGCTGCGCAAGAAACATTTCTTATTATCAGTGTTGAAAGTATTCAGGACTCATTGATGAATAGAAAGTAAAAAAAAAAAAACATTTATTTGAAATAAAAATCTTTTGTAACATTTAAATAAATAGACATATAAATGTCTTTACTGTCACTTTGATCAACTTAATGCATCCTTGCTGAATAACATAAGTTACTGATCCAAAATTTTCTAATTTGTCAGTGAATTAAAAAGCAGAAGTTAGGAGTTTTCCACATTGTCTATATGTATTTCAAAATTCAGATTCTAAGCTTTTAATCACCAGCTATTTTGTGTGTAAATGTGTTTTTTTATTATTAATTTTCTAGTCACTCCAATTTAAAGGATTCTAATGCAGAAAGTAAAATAATCGGTTAGTGTTATATATACATCCCTAGGCAGCATACATTAAGCCTAAAATGTCAGTACCTCACTTGGTGTCTTGTCCTCCATTTGATTCCCATTACCATCCTGTAGAGAATAGAGAAGTTTTTGCATTATTCACACAATCAAAATTCTGAACCAGCAAATGAATTCAAAAAGCTTTCATTTGTCAGCACACATTGAAAAGCACTGTCTTGCTATGTGTCGATGACAAGGGAGATGAAGCGCAGCTTTCAAGCACCAGTGCTGAGTCGTGATGGAGAGTTTTTGGTAGATTCAGGTTGCTATGGAAACCTGCGAGTTTCAAATGGGCTCGGAAAATGACAATTTTTTTTTTTCAGGATTACATAAAAACTCAGCAATACCATCGAATCATCTATGTGCATAATTATTACATTTTATGAAGCGTATTTGACGCAGGCGAATGTGGATGCCAGAGAAGTGTGATAATGAACAACTCACTAACATACATCAAAATAATACGCTTATTTTCTGACAAAACAATGTTAGTTTTGCGTACCTGAGTAGCTTGGTTCTCCTGAGAGCCATTGACTAATACCTCTTGTCCATCTAGAAGAATGGAGGAAGCACAATGGTCAGATAAAAAGGTATATTTAGCCAATCAGACACACTAAAAGCACACTCATTTACATATTGCGTGTTGTGTATTTGACACCTACTGATTACTAGCGCTCCAGTGTGGTTGTGATGGCCGTTGGAACTGCAGGGCAGAGGAACCTCAAAATTGGATCCTAATAACAGCTCTGTCAATCTGTCCACTGCAGAGAGCGAGAGAAAGGTACATCATGACATTTTACAAGATATTATTGAAAATCTGAGCATGAGCTCAGAAGATTTAGTTAAAATGATCTGTGAACTTTCCATAAGAGTATAAAAAAATATTATTAAAGGGGTCATATGATGCGATTTCAATTTTTCCTTTCTCTTTGGAGTGTTACAAGCTCTTTGTGCATAAAGAAGATCTGTAAAGTTGCAAAGACTAAAGTCTCAAATCCAAAGAGATATTCTTCATAAAAGTTCAGAGTCAGCCACACCTACCTAAAATGGCTCGTTCTAACACGCCCCCACATGTCTACCTCACTATGTTTTTTTAAATAAAAAGAGACAGAGGTGCATTGGCAGCAAGTATGAATTTTATTATATTTTAATATCTTTATTTTGAATCATTTTATATTTAAAATATATTTTTTAGATATTTAAAGATTTTTAATCATACAAACTAAATCAAATATAAAATACAACTAAAAAATAGTTGATCTGTCATTTATTTATTCAGAGACTGGGTCAACATTTTATATATCTGAAATGTTTTTAATCGTTACAATTCTGAAACTTTTGCTTTTTTATATGAATATATGAACATCAGACACTACTGTTAAAGTAAAAAAAAAAATAAAATAATATATATATATATATATATATAATATTCTAAAATATTTAAGATTTTTAATCTATGAACTAAACATAAAATCTAACAAATAAACAAAAAATACTGTCAGAAATATATTTGAACATGCTTGTTTTAACTAATGTAATCTGTCATTTATTTATTCAGATGCAATTTATTAATGACAATTTATTAATTGCTCAGATGCTGACTCTTCAAAGCTTTTATTTAAATATCTGTAAATGTTTTCATTATACATAAAACCAGAATTGAACAATTTACGGTTGTGCTTTTTGCAAAATACCTAACACCTAACATGGCAAAACCAGTCTTGGACTTGAACCTTCTTTTCTGTGGCCATGCACTGCTTACTCATAGTGTGTATACTGTAACCTATTAACATGGGCGGTGAAATAAATATGCACTAGTGGGTGAAACCAGCCTCATACAGCCCTGCTTCTTTTAAATAATTATATAAATAATATAATTAGTACATCATTATTATTCTTATTATGAATAGTAATATGAAAAATAAAATAACAATTACTACTATTAAATTATTAATTACAATTATAAATATTAATAATATTAAAACTAGTACTACTAACTAACTAAATAAATAAATATTTACCAAATTTGGCATTATTGCCCCTGTAATGTCACTCTTTCTATTTTTTCCACATAGTATATATGGTATCTTTTCTTAGATGTCTTTATATTTTTTGGAAAGGTGCCCCTTGCAAGCTGTCAAGTTTGTTTTTGCTGAGCTGTAACGTAAACAAAGGCTATTGGCAAGTCAAGCTTCCCACAGAACTGACATATCCCTTCGAAATGTCCCGCCCCAACGTCCTGATTCAAGAGAAAATACAAAGGAACAATACAGAAAAGTGCTTTCATGGGATTTTCTATTCAATTGCAAAGAGAGATGGCAAAAAAAAGTCAAATGGCAGCTGTGGGTGCTGTGTGGACTGTAAAGAGCGTGTTTTTGCATGCATTTACCTGCTGATGGTTTGCTGTATGAGCCGTATCCAGGTGTTTCTGTCATCTTTAGATGACGCATAGAGCTCGTACATCTCAGGTGGGCTGGACTCACTGCTGATCAGGAACAAGCCTCGCTCCTGATTGGCTATGTCTCGGACCAAGAGAGTCTGCAGTGAGACCACAGCAGACTTATCCTACAGAGAGAATGAGAAGAAAAGAAATATTGTTATCTGTGCACAAATATTTTTTACAAACAGCACATTCCTCTTCGTAAAATGAGTTATCACAGCATGTTACATGCAAAAGTTTAATACTTTATTGCAAAGTAACTTACCAAACTAGCAAAGATGAACCGTTGATCTTTCTCTTGCAAGAATACTAGAATATCAGTCATCAACATAACCTGAACATCTAGAACACAAAGAAAACGGGAAATTCTGTACATTAAAACACCCACAGCACATTACATGTCAGCTAATACAATAACATGTGTGTCTCTCTTCCTCTCACACAGACACATATCACATCACACTTCCTCATAAACAGCCATAGTCTTCGCTACCTTTGAGGCGAGAGCTGGGTGTTTTCCAGAGCAGCGTGCCTTCATGTATCAGCTGCCTGCGGAGCAGTTCGGCTGGTCTGAACAGGGCTCCGGAGCGAAGTTTGGCCTCGGCCCGCGGGTCAACCCTGGACCGGATCTCCTGCAGCCGCTGTGTCCTTTCAAGCTCCAACACCTGCTGGTCCACCGAACAGAGCAGCTCCCGCATACAAGACAGTGACTGAGACAGACCTGCAGCTTCCTCTGGATTGTCTGCATTGTTACACACAAAAGTCAGTCTAAAAAGTCCATAACCAGGGGCATTTTATGACGTATGTATATAATACACATTTTTTAAATTTAAAATTATTTTTAAATGATACATATTATATTAAAGGGACACTGAAAAGTTTATAGACTGTGGAAGGAAGGCCGGAGGTGAGCAGCTATTGGAATACAGTTATATATTGACATTGGCAACATTTATATGCCTGTGTCTTACCTTTGGTGTTGTCATAGATACGCTGCACCAGAACGGGGTATTTAGTGATGCGCTGAGTGACCAATAGGATGCACTCCTGGAACCCGTGACGACGCAGTAGAGGACGCCGACTCACCCTCTGAGAGAGACAAAGACAATGATAAATGGACTGGTAACTAAACACACTTTAAGGTTGTGTCAAAAATCTACAGCAGTCAGCCAGATTTGTGTATGAAGGCACTTAAAGAACACTGGTTTTAGACAGGCATCATAACATCATGTCTAATAAGCTAGAACTAATTTAAGTGAGCTTAAAGCTAACCAAGCAAATATTTAATGACTAAAACACTCATTTATAAATAGAAGTCTGACTGTAATAAAATTACTTAAAAGTACTTGAAAACTTTCCCAAAGAGAAATCCATTTTTCATACTGTACATTCTAATGTTGTGATGCCTAAATTCACTCGTCGCATTTAAAACAAATGTATATTTATTGGTGTTTATTTTATATTTAGTAATAACTATAAAAACTGTATATAATAATATAGTATACATTTTCATTTTGGCCAGTATTTTTAGTTTTAAAATTCTTTCAATCTTGCAATGAAAATAGCTTTTGATGCTGATATGGCAATATAAGAAATTTAATACTACTACTACTACTAAAATTAGTTATTATTATTATTATTAAAATTAATGAATTTATTAATTTAATATCAGCCATTTAATAGTATCAGACAAAATCTTACTACATTTTTTGTAATATATAATATAGTAAATATATAAACAATATATAACATAGTACATATTTCAGTCAGAATCTGCTTTAAAATACTTTGATCTTGCTGAAAAAAAGGCTTTTGATGCTGATACAAACAAACAAATATTATTGTTGTTGTTGTTATTAATTATTAATATAATTTGTTAACAATATCAGATATTTACCAGAGATTTAACAGAAGTTTACTGCTGGCACATCCCTAAATTGTTAATATTTATATTAATATTTAAATCTTTTGTTGGCTTTCTGTCTTTATTAAAATAGGAAAGCAGAGATTTTGACAAGAAAGTTGACAAACATGGGTCTCACCATGGGCCCAACACCTTCCACATCACTGCTCTGACAATATTGAACTTTTTAAATAAAAGGAGTGCTTTCATTAGCATAGTAGTTACTGCTGTGGCATCGATAATTGTGACATGTCACCAGTTTTGTTATCGTGACAGCCCCACACTAAGCTATTACGAACTAAAATAAAACACAAGAGCCGAACATGATCATGATACCTGGAAATCTGATGATTCACACATCTATGAGAGTTTGCAGGCATTTAATCCATTAATGCACCCGCCCACCATCATTCATCACTCAGTAGCACTCTGTCCTCCCACTAGCAACACACGAGACAACACCTGACCCGGTTATGCAAACACGAAACGCACCCGGACGGCAAACACCCTCGTCCGCCACTCTTGTTCTTACCCGTATAAAGAGCTGCAGTCTCTTGTCTCTGGCCAGCAGCTCTTTGTAGAGTTTGACAGCCTTCATATGACGACTGCAGAACTCAGAATACGTCTTCAGCATCTCGTCAGCGCACTGACCTGAGAACTGACGTACACACAAAGACAGTGCACTATGAACATTTTGCTCCTTGAAACCTGAAAGCTTTCAGCCTCCCACTCTGATATATTCAGAGAGAATGACGTTTCAATTTCCATTTGTCACTTTTTCTTTATTTTTGACTTTTTAACTCCTTTTCTCATACAAAATCATGCATTTGCAATGCAACGAATGTATGATATTTTTTAAGGTGCTGTGTTAAAAGTAGTTTTAAAACACATCCCCAGAACCATTCAATTTTGTTGCACTGTTGCATGATTAACCCTGTTTATTTTTTTTTTAATTAATGCATTACATTGAAAGCTCTCATTTATATGTCACACTTTAAACTGGCAATTAAAACCGATACGTTCATCCAAAATCACATAAGGCAGGCCAAATGTAACCACATGCTTACTCACTCCGCCCACCTAAACTAACAATTGCCCTCCTACCTGTTGTATTAGCAAATCGCTGATCTGAGTGATGGTGAAATTGTTTGTGCTCTCAGGTTGCAGGCTGTGAGCGCGCCGTGAAAGGAGCTGCGTGAGGAAGTGCATGTGAAGCGTCAGCAGGCGCTCCAGGCAGGGGAACAGCACGTGCACGACCCCCGGCTCCAGCTGCACCTCCTCCAGCATATTCCGCCTGAACACCCCATCCATGATCCGCAGCGTCCGAACGTGATGGAGCTCCGTCTGGATCAGCTCTGAAATGATATCGGAGAGGTTGTTAAGGTGTAAAATACAACAGTTAATGGGCCTTTGTTGGACATGTAACCCAAATGAATGTCCTTATTAAGGGTAGATACCATATTACATTTGATTTGAAGGAAAACAAGGTAGTGAGGCACAGAAATACAGTTCATTCCATCTGTGTACCTTGGTGTAGATTGTTCAGCCGACAAAACATTGTGCATGCTCATTTCTTTCATTTTTATTTTTAGATTATCCTTTCAGTCATCTAAAACTCCCTTAAAGTTAATCTTAAGCAAATCTCAATGTGAATATCCACATTATAATGTTGTGATACATAAATTCACTTATAGCATTTTTTTGTGTGGAATTTTAATATAGGCCATTTATTTTTTATTTAATATAAGACATTAAAAGAGTACTTGAACAGACATCTATCCCTCAATGGCTCATTTTCATTCTCAGAAAAGTAAATACAGCATCTGGAAAGACATTGCTGTTTATTTGGGAGCAATTAATAGCATTTTTATCGGGGTTCAGAGTCAACGGCCCATTTACAGTCATAAACATACTTTGATTTTAGACTTGGATCTGCACTTTTTTCTAACCATAGATGACGTCCTGCCTCTTGATAACATCTTTACGGTGGGTCTGTAAGTAGGTGGAATCTACTGCCATGCTCCAGGAATCTGCTTCAAACTCCTGGCCTTCATCCTCCAAATCTTCCAGCAGTGAGGTGAAGTAGCCCTCTCCTAGAAGCAAAAGGAAGGATAACAATAACCATTTCTGTATTATAACTTCAGCTTGAAGGCAAACAGGTTGGTCATGGAATTTTGGAACTGGTCAACAGCCAATCACACCAATCAAAAATGCAGCTCTAAATTTCCTAAAAATAAATATTTCTTTATAAGAATTTAATTCTTTATAAGATACATTACCATTCAAAAGTTTGCAGTCAGTAAAATGTAATGTTTTTGAACAAAGTCTCTTATGGTCACCAAGGCTGCATTTATTTGGATCAAAAACATAGTAAAAATTGTGAATATTATGAAATATTATAGCCATTTAAAAATAACAGTTTTCTATTGTAATATATTTTAAAATGTTATTTATTCCTGAATTTTCAGCAGCCATTATTCCAGTTTTCAGTGTCACATGATCCTCCAGAAATCATTCTAATATGCTGATTTGGTGCTCAGAAACATTTCTAATTATTATCAATGTTGAAAACAGTAATGCTGCTTAATATTTTATGGACGTTAGAAATGTCTTTATCGTGATAAAATGATGGATATGCTAGAAAATGCTTTAATGCTGGTTAAGCGTTAATTTCTTTAATAAAATCGTACTTATTTCAAACCTTTATGTATATTTTAATGTATATCTACTGTGTTTGAATGCATGTGTGTCCTTGTGTGGTGTTTTGTGTGTCTCACCCTCATCATTGAGTGACTCCATGGACATGGTTCTGCTCCTGAAGTTGAGTGAGTCTGTGGATTGAGACAAGATCCTACGCAGCCCCAGAGGAGAGTCATCATTCAGAGTCCTACACGCACATGCACACACACACACCATGTGCATGCATGCAAACAGATGTACACGTATGCATGCAATCCCATGCAAAAGACACACAAAAAAAGTACACAAAACAAAATACGACAAAATGAGAGGCAGGCATCATAATCACCACAGAAACAAACAAAAAAACACATAACAAATTTAAAATAAAAATATATTAAAATAATTTAAAAAATAATGACTAATGTATAACATTCAAACAAAACTGCTTACATTAAACTAAAATAGCCACAAACACACACACACACACGCACACACAAAACCACAAAAAGATAAAAATTACAGTGATGAGAGCTGTCTCTCTATATATACTGTAGATATTTCACAACAAAATAAAAATGTGATTTAAATAGAATTTTCACAGTATTTATAAACTAGGGACTTGTTCCTTTAGTGATTTGTTGGTACATTTTACAGACAAGAGCCCATTTTATGCATCTGTCTGTCATTTCCGTCACTCACCCTGCAATGTTATTGGTGGAGACGCTCTTTGAAAGTAAGAGGGAAGACCGTCCGCGACGGGACCCCAGAAGTGACTGGCGAAGACTGTCTGATGGGTAGATGGCAGAGTTCGGCCTTTCCTTTAAATGGGCTTCAGAGAGGCAGAAAAAAGAGAGTAATGTCATGTTAAGACCTGGTATTACTCAATTTTGGTCAATCATATTCAAATGATCCTCTCACTGATATCGAATCACAGCTAGTCACAGAACACGCATGCCACTTGTGACTGGATCACCTGAAACATGTTAATATCAGATGTAACTATCAGATGTAAACAGCGCACTTGTTTCCATCACATCCTCACCTTTATTCCTCAGTGTCACATTCTGATAGGCTGAATTGTTCCTCATCAGCGCCAGTTTCTGTTGCTATTGTGACACATACAGACAGATCAAATTTACGACATATTTAGATATTTACATTTCTTCTACATCATACCATGAATCAAAGCCAGTGTCTGCAAGTCTGTGGTCCAAGTAACCCATTTGACAAGTGTGTGCACTAATATCCCACCTTTTGTTTCATTTTGACACAGTTTGGTAGTGTGTCCCTGCAGCGGTTGTGGATGGTGACATTACAGGCTGGAAAAAAAAGAGCAGACAGCAAAACCACTGTTATTTTATTTCGTCATCAGACAGTAAAATCTTCACACATTCACATTTATACGGAAATGTGATAAATGATGACTGTGATCTTCTCATGGTCACGTAAATCTTAATTTGATTTCTGGTTGGTCTAAGTTAGTCATTAGCTGGCTGACTTACCACTATGTGCCAAACACAATCTTGACTATGTTAGACTGATAAGTAGCTGGTTTATTGTTGGTCTAAGATGATCTATCAGCTAAAACCAGCGAGAAACCAACCACCGGGGTTTCAAACAAAGCTAGTGGCTTACAATGGATTTTCCAGTAAGGAAATACATAAAATTTCCATCTAACCTGTACTCTAACCTCCTATCCTCTCCAAAATTACAGCAAATAATTAAAGTGGTCATATTATGCGATTTCAATTTTTCCTTTCTCTTTGGAGTGTTACAAGCTCTTGGTGCATAAAGAAGATCTGTAAAGTTGCAAAGACTAAAGTCTCAAATCCAAAGAGATATTCTTTATAAAAGTTAAGAGTCAGCCACACCTACCTAAAACTGCTCGTTCTAACACGCCCCCACATACCTAAGTCACGATGTGGGAAGATTTGCATAACACACAGATGTATACCAATTTTTTGCCTCTCTTTCTCTCCCTCTTGACCTCTGTCCATGTCTGCATTAAAATGCTTGTTCTAGATCTCCTTTCTGGCATGCTACTAGTCACTGAACGTTTTCTCTGGTTACGCCATATTGTTTTTGTCTCTGAACCCCTATTGTTTCAGAATGGCTTTGCTTCCTGTTTTGAGGGTGGCTGGGCTCCGGCGGGGTTTCCCTGGCCCGAATGACAACATACACCTTAACGACTCAAAATAATCACCCAAGGAGCAGCAGAGCATCTCAGAAATGAAGCACTGTAGAGGAACATTTTATTTAAAAAATAGACATAAATTACAGTAGAAATGTCCATTTGTCCATAAAAATAACTGAAGCAGGTCTCAATTTGCTCCTCATTTAATCTCATTGCTCTCTAAGAGAATTAAATAGATTTTGCTTTGCTATATATTCACTTTGCTTTATACTGTATATATTCATCATTTTAAATTTTGGGGTTGGTAAGAAATTTATTATACTCACCAAGGCTGCAATTATTTTATTACAAATACAGTAAAAACAATAATATTATAAAATATTATTTATTCCAGCCATTAATCCAGTCTTCAGTATCACGAGATCCTTCAGAAATCATTCTAATATGCTGATTTGCTGCTAAAGTATCATTTCATATTATTATCATCAATCCTGAAAACATTTGTGCTGCTTAATATTTTTGTGAAAACCGTGATACATTTGTTTCAGGATTTTTGATGAATATAAAGAACAGCATTTATTTGAAGTAGAAACTATTTGTCACATTCTAAAAGTCTGTCACTTTTTTCTCAATTGAATGAATTCTTGCTCAATAAAAGTATTAATTAAAATTTGATTGACCCCAAACCGTTAAATGGTAGTGTACAGTATATATATATAATATTACATTATATACACATACATAGCTGACAGACTCTTCATAATACGAAATACATGCCCTATCAAGCTCCACCGCTACAGCCTTATGCATACAAACAGATGTCTTTTGCAGTTGCACTGTGACTCACTTTAGCAGTGTTTTGCTTTTATAGGGCATATTAAGCTAAAAAATATTTTAAAACACACAGTGACTGTGTTCTGTTCCATTCCATTGCATTTCGTCCAGCTGTTTTTGATCGCAATAACCATGCATCTGATCAAGGTGAAACCAGCCCTTTATCCAGTGCTTCCTTAAAACCAATTAGCAAGTCATTCAGACAACCCACTAAGTTCATTTTAAAATATGTCGTTTTTTTCACATCCTTATTCCCTTTTCCTTTTACTTCTACGAAACATGAAATAAAACAGCATCTTTATGCATATAGCCTACATTTATCTAATTCTCTTTAAGATCTAGTGTAAATCTGATCCCACTCAAAGGTGTTTGGTTCAAATGGCATTTGCTCTCTCTCTCTTGCTGTGTACAGAGACACAAACTACATGTTCCAACACCCACACAGGCTCTCAGTGCAATCAATACCCAGACCAGAGCAGCCGAGCATAGAGCAGCTCATCAGTGAGTGGCTCGTACTGTCTGGTTTTGAAATCTGATCTCGATGACAAAATAAGGAAGAAGCTAAAAACAATAGTAAAACAGAGAACAAGAAATGAGACATGAGCACAGCTAAACAGGAAAGGGCGTGAGGTTTAATGGAAGTTATGTTTGTAGAATAATAATTTTAACTTGTTCCACATTATACATATATAACATTACACATATTAACATGAGACTAATGTGATAAAACACTACTAACCCTGTCTGCACAAAGTTAATTTCAATACTTCAACTCTTCCATGACAACAAAAAGTCAAGAAGCTAAAATACAGCTAAAATAACCTTTGACCGCTTTTAAACCCTTCAAGAGCGTCACCCTGTTTACTCTTATTGTAAATGCCTTGCTGGAACCACGATTTTGTTAAAAACTGAAAATTATCTTCTGTGGTAATCGACATTATGCCACAAATGCATCCTTTAAGAATGAGTATTAATGTCTCTAAAATGTTATTTTTTTATGCATTTTATCATGTAAGCATATATATATATATATATGTGTGTGTGTGTGTGTGTGTGTGTGTGTGAAAACGCTTGCCATTGCAGGGCTGTGTCTGCATAAAGAAACTATCCAGACATCTAACTTTAAGATGTGTGTGTGTGTGCGTGTTATCTTGGCATGCTACGGTAGACCAGCCACTAAAAATATTCCACATACTCTCCATTTCACCACATTATAAGACTCAAGACAGCAGTTCAGGGCTGCAACACATATATGTAATGTGAAAGAGGGAATGGGTAGACAGGTGTTGCTTCTAAGTAATAAATAGGCTTATGTTCGTCTCAAGCTCAAAGTCCTGGAGACAATCATGGAAAGAGAGCGGGTGAGTTGGGATGGGGGAAGAAAGCCGGAAAAAATCATTGGAAGGAGTGAGGTAAGTGGCTGTTTTTATAGCCTCTGCGATGTGATTGGCAGGATCGCAAACAAGCTCCTCCTAAGGTTTCGTCAGGAGCATTTATTCCTGGGGTTTTCATCAACAGAGGATGTAAGCAAACATTAATCAAGAACGGTAATGCTATTATACTTTACTTATAATCAGCGTCTAATCACAATTACTACCGCTCATACTTATCATTAAGGTTGTGTTCAGATCCCTAACCATAAGTATTAAACATCAGCACAAAGTTAAATACTTATTCATGAGTCCTACATGAATGATACCTCCAATCAGTTGGCTTATTTGGGAGAGGTACACTCTTGAGTCTTCACGATGCCATAGAAGAACCTTTTTGTCTAAATGGTTCGATAAAGAACCTTTAACATCTGAAGAACCTTTCTGTTTCACAAAAGGTTCTTTGTGGCGAAAGAAGGTTCTTCAGATTATAAAAAGGTAAGAAAGAGATGGTTCTTTAAAGAACCTTTGACTGAATGGTTCTTTGTAGAACCAAAAATGGTTCCTCTATGGCATCGCTTGAAGAACCTTTTGAAGCACCTTTATTTTTAAGAGTGTACTTATTTTGCTTACTATTTTCTATAGACCTTAGTCAATTTAGATGCCATATTAAGTTTAACACCGATGAAAATGAGGCTGCGGGGATAGAAGTGCATTGTGTGTTCAATGGATTGTACATTGTTTAACAGATTGTTCAGGTGACAAAACGTCTTTCTGGGGAAAATAAAAATAAATACAAATTTTGGTAGACCAGAGCAGTCATAAAACAATATTGAAAGTTGTGAGTTGTAAAAATTATGTGATCTACGACCTTTATACAGTGTGTGCCATTGTAAAAACGAAGTCTATCCCCCACAGCCTCGTTTTACTTAATATGGCATCTAAATTGACTATAAGGTCTATAGAAAATAGTAAGCAAAATAAGTAGTATGAATTTATTCATAAAACCGTACGAGAGGACCTATTATGCCTCGGAGATTTCACAGTGGGAATCTGGTGGACATTTAAGCCTACTATCCCGTGAGGCCATGCAAAAAAATAAAATAAAATAAACTGTTTAAATAACGGTTTGAATTCTATGAGACTAGTCTTCACCACAACTACAATGGTAACGATACAGAGGAGCGATGTTGTTGGAATACATTCAGAACAATTTTTCCAGCTGATGAATGATAGAAACATAGACAGCCCATCAGAATCTCTCCAGCTCAAGCAATTAAAGTGACAGACACACATAATAAAGCGATGGAACGTTATTGTAAAATGAAGACAAGGGTAGGGGTGTAACCCGGCATCCTGGCCAAATTTGCCCATTGCCCTCTGACCATCATGGCTTCTTAATCATCCCCATATTCATATTCTTCATCTGTGTGTGTGTGTGTGTGTGTGTGTGAAAACGCTTGCCATTGCAGGGCTGTGTCTGCATAAAGAAACTATCCAGACATCTAACTTTAAGATGTGTGTGTGTATGCGTGTTATCTTGGCATGCTACGGTAGACCAGCCACTAAAAATATTCCACATACTCTCCATTTCACCACATTATAAGACTCAAGACAGCAGTTCAGGGCTGCAACACATATATGTAATGTGAAAGAGGGAATGGGTAGACAGGTGTTGCTTCTAAGTAATAAATAGGCTTATGTTCGTCTCAAGCTCAAAGTCCTGGAGACAATCATGGAAAGAGAGCGGGTGAGTTGGGATGGGGGAAGAAAGCCGGAAAAAATCATTGGAAGGAGTGAGGTAAGTGGCTGTTTTTATAGCCTCTGCGATGTGATTGGCAGGATCGCAAACAAGCTCCTCCTAAGGTTTCGTCAGGAGCATTTATTCCTGGGGTTTTCATCAACAGAGGATGTAAGCAAACATTAATCAAGAACGGTAATGCTATTATACTTTACTTATAATCAGCGTCTAATCACAATTACTACCGCTCATACTTATCATTAAGGTTGTGTTCAGATCCCTAACCATAAGTATTAAACATCAGCACAAAGTTAAATACTTATTCATGAGTCCTACATGAATGATACCTCCAATCAGTTGGCTTATTTGGGAGAGGTACACTCTTGAGTCTTCACGATGCCATAGAAGAACCTTTTTGTCTAAATGGTTCGATAAAGAACCTTTAACATCTGAAGAACCTTTCTGTTTCACAAAAGGTTCTTTGTGGCGAAAGAAGGTTCTTCAGATTATAAAAAGGTAAGAAAGAGATGGTTCTTTAAAGAACCTTTGACTGAATGGTTCTTTGTAGAACCAAAAATGGTTCCTCTATGGCATCGCTTGAAGAACCTTTTGAAGCACCTTTATTTTTAAGAGTGTATGCTGTCACCTTTCAAAGCATTTATCAGGCAGACTATGAAAATAGTGAAAAAAATCAGATGGGGGAAAGAAACTAGAATATCCTATAGTCTTGGGAATCAGCTTTTTGGACTTGTACCAGGCCTAGACTTGTAGACTTGTATCAACACCCTAGCAACCACATAGGAACATACAAAAACCATCCAGAACACCCAAGTACACAGCAACATGCTAAAACTACCCAGAACACCTTAGCAAACGCATGGCACAAACATCCACAACATCCTATCATCATTGATGAACAAACATCAGTTTGTTTGGAAGAGCTATGATATTACTTTTGTAGCGTTTTAGTGATAAAAATCTCACAGAATTGCATTGAAGTGGTAACAAAAACCATAATATCATAGAGACCTGAGGACTGACTAATTATGGGTATGTTTACCCAACAACAATTGTACTAAAAAGGTAAAGTTTTTCATTTTTGTTTTTGCAACGTTTCGAATACAGATGACAACATTGTCAAAAACAATCCCTGATTACACAAGTCCGCGAAAAACAACTAAAAACGCTGTATTATGCATGCCAGGCCAGTAGTTGGTGATGTCACTTTGTAAAGAAACACTACACGCCTGCGCACATACACATTATACGACACATAACTAATTTCATAAATTCACATTTTTGTAGTTTACACGGAGATGATAATAGTATAATTTTCAATTAACAATGAAACTCCGCACACCTGACGGCAATAGATAGGTGCGTTGGAGGCAAAGACCAACCAGGTCAAAAAACTAAAAAGCAAAAAACAAATCCCGCACACTATCTATGCAAAAAAATATCAAAATATTTATTGACTACGTTTCGGTCGCATTCAATAAATATTTTGATATTTTTTGCATAGATAGTGTGCGGGATTTGTTTTTAGCTTAATAGTATAATTTTCAAAATTTTGTACCGTTTTCAAACTGTTTTCAAAAGCTTGTGTTTACAGACCACCAAAATGCAATTGTCGTGTAAACAAACAGCCAAAATGTATAAAAAGTTTGCCATTTTTAGTTGAAAATGGTGTCGTGTAAATGCCTCCTAGACTTGTGCCAGACCTGGCAAAAGCCTAGCAACTATTCAACTGCAATACATTATTTGCTTAAATAAACTTGGCAGACAGGATTACTGGTGCACTTTGTGGGTTTTGAGTAGGGGTGGGCAATATAGCAAAAATATCATATCACAATTTTTTTTTTAGGAAAACCACAATTCACGATTTTATCACGATTCTTTGTCATGTTGCTTTTACTATTTTGCAAGTTGTCTGAGCAGTACAGCAAAACGAATTTCCCTATTTTAAAAACAAAGCCTTACAAGGTAACAAAATACAAAATAAAAAAGAATAGCAGACATTTAGACCAAAATGGGTGAAGATAAAAATCTGTCATTATTTTTCTTTGTTATTAAAAAATAAGAACAAAGATACACATTACAAATACACATTATATACAAATAAAACAATCGGTGCTTTATATTTCAGGTACAGTAGGTGTATTTAGCAGCAGCATTCAAGAAATTGAATGAACAAATATTAAAATAAAACACTAATAAGAATCAATGTATAATTTATACAGTGAAGTATATATAAAGCAACTATATTTAAGTTCTTCAGTCAAGAGCATTTACTCCAGCTCAATTTATTAACATTAAAGGGAACGTTCACCCAAAAATGAAAATTCTGTCATCATTTACTCACTCTCAAGTTGTTTTAAACCTGAATGAGTTTCTTTCTTTTTTTGAACATAAAAGTTATTTTGAAGAATGTGGGAAGCCAAACAGTTGCTGGTCCCCAGTGACTTCCATAGTATTTCCACCCCCTACTATTAAAGTCAATGGGGACCAGCAACTGTTTGGTTACCCACATTCTTCAAAATATCTTCTTTCGTGTTCAGCTCAAGAAAGAAATTAATACAGGTTTGGGACAACATGAGAGTGAGTAAATAATAACAGAATTAAAATTTTTGGGTGAACTATCCATTATAAAAGAAGTCCACATGGCTCCGGGGGCTTAATAAAGGCCTTCTGAAGTGAAGCGATGCGTTTGTGTAAGAAAAATATCCATATTTACAACTTTATAAACCTTAATCTCTAGTTTCCGCTAACTGTCGTACGCACATTCACGAGAGAGTGGCGTCCAGCGGATGACGTAGGCGTAGCATAAGCTTTGGTGAGAATATGCTAGTCTCGCGAGAACCAAGTTTTGTTTACAGCAAAGGAAAACCAGTTTCCTCTTCTCTTATATCGAAATCCTCCGACATTTTTCTATACAAATTCTCATTTTGTACTACTAATTAAATAACCGGTGTTTTGTTTTGTTCTCTCCTCTGCGCTTCCACGTACGTCACTTCCGCATTCGTCACCGCGTTTGCCTATGTCCTACGTCATCCGCTAAACGCCACTCTCGTGAACGCGTGTATGACAGTTAGCGGAAGCTAGAGATTAAGGTTTATTAAGTTGTAAATATGGATATTTTTCTTACACAAGCGAATAAAAGTGCTACCGCCAGACCCGGAGATCAGCTGAATGGATTCGAAAACGGTAAAACTCAACTGTTTAACTCTACGGGAGTTGGAAAATGAGCCTATTTTCAAAAATAGTGGAGTGTTCCTTTAAGGGTGAGTAAATCATGGGGTAATTTTAATTTTTGGGCGAACTATCCCTTTAAGAGCTGCACGCATACAGACAGTCATTTTTCTCTCAACTGTTTACTTTCAGTTTAGACATAACCAACTGTTTTTATATGTAAACCTTGTGTGTGTTTGACAGTATTATCGCAATCAGATGCGAAAGATGACTTAGACCAGTAATCAGGCACTGCTTGTCAGGCTTTTAGTGTACGCGCTTCATGTGTACACACTCAGAAAAAGCATACGAATGAAATGCTTAACCGGCAAGCCTTTTTAAAGCACATGCAAATGATGTACTTTTGTGATTGCGAATAAGTGCAGTGTCCCGTGAGTGTAACTCTACCGCTGAGTTAACATTTGATGTGAATGTATATCGCGTTGTACAGTATATTGAGACGGAGGCGCCAGAACTGATAGGATGTGCGCTGTAGCACGATACTATGATATTTCTTCAAAAGCAGATCGTAGAGACATTTTGTCCACGATCAAAAATCGTGATACCGCACACCCCTAGTTTTGAGTGTGATGTACTGTATATGTGTGTGTGTGTCTGTGTGACTCACTAGGGCAGCTGAGGGCCTCCTTAGCGGTGATGCTCTTGTTGCAGGCCGAGCAGAGCGTGGTTCCAGACACGGTGAGAGAGTTGAAGAGGTGGCCATTACTGTAGCGTGCCTCGCGCTCCCTGGCTTCTCTCTCCCGCTCCCTCATGCGCTCCTTCTCTTTATTCTAATCAAAACACAAAAACTTTGAATAAATTAATCACGCAAGGCATCATTATATATGTATACATTTAAATCATCTCCACCAGAGTAAAATTAGCCTAGTATCATTGTACGAAAAAACAAATAAACAAATTTTGAGCTGGTCAAAGAACAATCGACGCTCACACAAACAGACAATGATGACACTATTGCATCTCAGTTTCTATTGTGTAAACGATTCATCTGCCGAACTGGTACAGGCTGAGTCCACAAACAGGGAAATTACCAACTCAAAAGAGAACTTGCAACACCGTTTTGGAAGAACACATACTTCCAACAATGGCCATATTGAATGTCATCATGAAACATATACAGTACATTCATGCCCGTGACTTGGTTTTCATTGGAACAGCTAATCTTTGCTTATCAGCCTTTAAAGGAAAGACAAATGAACCCTAACAGCCACTATAAAAAGTCATTCATGTGGTTTATGCAAACAATGGCTCTCATTTCTATGATTTACTTCATCTATTTGTGTGTCTTTGTTACGTACATGCCTAGTTTGATAAGTTTGTTTCTATTTTTTCTGCATTTGTCCTCTCTTTCAACCTGTGAGGGTCTTTGTGGACAGTCTGCTAATAGGCCAATTGCTGTACTTTGCAATTAATGGAGACAGGTATTTATCAATATTGTGAATTAGATTTTTTATATTTTCAGTTTATTTCAGTTTTAGATAAAGTTTCAGTAATTGTATGTTTTGTCATTTTTATTAGTTTTTTTTTATATTTCTATTTAGCTTTTATTTTAGCGTTTATTTTTATTTTAGTCTTAGTAATGTTAGTATAACTTAAACTTATTTCAGTGTAAACCTACTTATTTTCAGCTATCAAAGCAACATTTTTTATTTCCATTTTCTGTGTTTCCATCTAATATTTATATTTTATATCAGCTTTATTTCAAATAACGAAAATGATTTTTAAGTTTCAGTTTTAGCTTGCACCCTGCCATCTTTTCTAACTGGTACAGTGTAGAAAGGTTTTTTTGAGCAAACCATCTGAGCTGTTTTACATTTTGAGTGGCCACTAGCAAAGTCTCCTCCATAATATAATGAAATATTCCCCATTTATATGTTCCTGTCTGCTGCCTTTGACGTCACAGCTCATATGCTGACAGGATATTTGCTAGAGTTTAGGACTGTGTACGTTCTTGTGGTGCCATCAGCCAATCTGCGTTGTCATGAAATAATTTTCCAGTGGCTCCAGAGTAATTATATGACATTTACAGCTCAACACAAACACACTCCAGCTTTAAATTAGGTAAACTGAATAAGTCCAGGTATCTATTTTGCTCAATTAGCAGTGCAACTCTGTAAACTCAGTTTAACCCATCAAAAGTTCTGAGCTGTGTGCATCTGCATTGTTCTTGATCATAAAAGATTTGACCAGCAGCTTGTGTTGGTTAATATTCTAGTCAGCATTATTAAAGGGGTCATATGATGCGATTTCAAGTTTTCCTTTCTCTTTGGATTGTTACAAGCTCTTGGTGCATAAAGAAGATCTGTAAAGTTGCAAAGACTAAAGTCTCAAATCCAAAGAGATATTCTTTATAAAAGTTAAGAGTCAGCCACACCTACCTAAAACGGCTCGTTCTAACACGCCCCCACACTGTAAACCCGAACAGTACTACTAACTTATAAAGATTAAGAACACTGCAATTAAAGTCTGTTAAATCGTTGATGCAACTTATA